AGGACAGAGAGTGAATACACATACGTTACAGAGATGCTGGATGAGAAACCAATGTGAGTTTGGACAATTGCACAGTATAAATCTATTTTAGTAGACCTCAACAATGGAATTATGATCAGTAGAACTGGCCATGACATGGGACCTTTAATGTTAGCAAAACATTACCGTGCTGCTCACTAGCTGCTACAGCTAACGTTAGCTAGCTGATGCCAACATTAACATAACACTTTAACTTCAGACCTTTGCATGGGCCCCAACATGATTATGCTGTGTGAGCCAGTATCAAGTGCAAGTGGGAGTGATTGGAGTGTTGGGAGCAAAACATGTTCCAGTAATGGAGGAAAAAAGGATATACACACACACACACACACACACACACACACACACACACACACACACACACACACACACACACACACACACACACACACACACACACACACACACACGTATGTTAATCATTAGGCTGATTGATTCAGGCTCCTTAAGGCCTCTCCAGACTCCCTGCAGCTCCACTTTGCTCTGCCCCTCAGAATCTGAAGGATCTCATTACTCCACACAAACACAACCTCCTCACCCCTGCACAGTCTTTAAGGATTCATACACCACCAATATTTTTATATCAGTGCTGCACTTAGCATTCAAACCTTTAAACAAAAAATACCACAAGAAGACACAGAACATGCCTGATGTCTACATTTACCTTTTTAAAAAGAGAAATATTTATACATCTAATTTCTGTATATAAGATAAGATAAGATATACTTTGTTGATCGCGAATTGGGAAATGTTTTCGTTGCAGCAGCATGCAAAACAAGTACTGCAAATCATTAGAATGCATAGTGGAAAATAAACAATATAAACATAGAAGATAAAAATAATTTATGCTATATGCTATAAATAAACGTGTTGATTATTTATTCACCTCCTGTCAAAAGGGAAAACAAATAAAGCTTTAAACAACTCCTAAAAAATAACTATCTTGTTTAATAAATACAGAAAGATGTAAGGTATATGATGTTCTTAGTTACATGGTTGAAAATAATAGAATTTGAGATTAGGGCTAGCTGCTAGCTATGCTACTTTCTTTGTGCTTAGCTAGGCTAATTCACTTACCGCAATTATCTCATGAAATGAGTTATATCTTCTCATCTGACTGCAGGCTTTAATCAAAATGTCCCCTTTCAAAAGGTGTTAGTGTCCAACATTAAACTCACCTTCAGAGACGCCATGATGGGACTTGCTCTCTAATTTGCCCGTGACCGGGACTTTCAGAGGCTTTACTTTGTTCTTCGCTGCAATCAAGAGAATCATTGCTCAAATACAACACGGAGGCTTTTTATATGAGATACTTTGTCCATGCCAATACTGTGCAACCAAACAAACATGCCTTACACTCACACTCTCGCTCTTTTGTAAAAGATTGTCTCATAACATTACAGTAACTACTGGATGCAAAGACAGGAACATGCAACCATCTAATGTCAAATTCACAACCAGTACGGCAGCCCGGACTGACCACAACAACAATAACAACATCCACAAACACAACAACAACAACAACAGCCAGTCTTACCTTTCTTCTGTACTGACCCCTCCCCTCTAACATCACCATTAAAGAACGTCTCTGATTGGCAGAAATACATGCCATTATTAGTGTTCCACAAGTATGTGACACTTTAATAACATGCATCTACAGTAGAGATAAAATATCCTTTTTGAAATGTGATTTTGATCAGACAATGAAATAAAGCTGGAATGGGAAATAAATGTGCTCCCACAGATTCCAAATTGCAATCCAATAAGTGTTTAACCATCTCAAAATGGGGGACAGGGTTGAACTTGAGAATGAAGAGTACAATCGCGACAGGACACACGACGGGGAACAGAACCAGGTGACATCTAGTTGGCGCTCTTACCTCTCCTGGCTTTCCTCAGGCCCGGTGTTTTCATGGCCCCTCTAAGGGCTGCCTCTACGGATGGAAACGCACAGCAACCATATTCACTTCTGAGCCCATCGTACTTTTATTTGAAGTTGACTGCACATAGTGTCCCGCAAACTGATTAATCTGTGCAGATGTTCAACACTCTACTTCCAACTATAGTTAGAGATTTTCTACAATTCTTTTTCCATTACCTGATATGAAATAGCCTGGACCATGGTTGATCGTCAGATAAAAAGCGGGGGTTTTACAAAACATCTCTCCCTGTTTAATTTGAAAAGACCAACACCCAAACCCAAGAGGACTCAAAGAGGATTTTCTGTTGCCAGACACGTCTCCAACTGACAAAACTATCCGGATGTGATGTGCCTTTGATTGACCAGTTATCGACAATAAAATTAAAATAAATCATCTGCATCGCCAGGGACATACGAACAGCTTTTAACGTATGGTAATGTGTGAATGTTTATTTAAATACTTAAAAGGAAAAATAAGCTTAAAGTGTGCTCCAACATATATTTGTACCACTTGCTGTTAAGTCGGTCTTTAACAGGTTTTACATGTTAAAAGAGTCAGTCCAATACTAAAAGGGTTAAGGTTAGGCTCCACAGAGATAAAGAGCTCGGTCTGCTAGCACGCTGGCTCTTATCCAGCTTTTATTAGCCTGTATTGAAAAGCTGATTAAGGATCAGCGGTGGCCGAGTGCTGTGAGAGCCAGGGAACAGCGGCCCGGCAGTTTGAGGACGGGCTGAAGGTCGCGAGGGTTCATCACGTTACCCTGACTGACAGGAAGGGACAGGATGCTCAGGCCAGGACAGGGCTGAGTTACTGCATAATAGTTGATCAAGCAAAGTTGATTGATAAATTAACAAACTTACATCCAGCTTCTTAGATTTGTTTCATTTTGTAACACATGATATTCATTTGATTAATTGATATAAAGCAGCATTTCTAATAAAAGTAATAACTACCTACCTAGCAATATTGCATCCAGACTAACCTACCTTTCTTTTTGATCAACTCTATATACACATTACGACCACCAGGCTGCAGATGCTATCTTATTACTGCAGAAACTATTGTTGGTTTGGTAGTTACCTTCTCTCAGAGGGTCCAGTGTGTGGATCATCAGCTGGAAGATGGTGCTCCTCAGCGAGGTGTTGTGGAGGGAGGCCGAGCTGCCGCCTCGCTGCAGGACGGGACGCACCTGAAAGGGCAGAAGATACACAAGTCGAATCAGGGAAAACATTGGAACCGTAATAGCATTGAAACATTTTAAGAGACCTATCCAAATGTTTCTTAAATCTCAATCTCTACATGTATGGCAGCCATTCCATTCCAGTGTCTGTTGAATTCTAACAGAGAAATGTTGTCAGTAGTTTATAGAATAAAATAAAGAAATTGGAATTTTACTCAAGCACATACCTATAAAAAGTAAAACCAGATAAACTGATTATGCTGCAGTGGTCTCTTCATTTCTTTTTTGCAAAATACAAAATGTATTTGTAGGCTATTGCCTGCTAAAATGGATAACTACCATCATCACTCTCGGTTCACTTGATAGTTTGCAAAAGTTGCTTAAAAAAAGCACCCTTTTGTAATTCTCCAAATGATGAAGCATACAGGAGTGCTGACGTAAAATGAAATACAATTATATAAAAAATGTTGGCTGCTTTAAGTTGTTAGCATGTCTGGCAAACATGCTAGCTAGCTACAGCAGCGTCTTGGCATTACCTCCAACACTTAGCGAAGCAACTATAGACAACTTTGCAAGTAAAGGGGAATAGGGTGAAATATTCATTTTCAATAACCTTGTGAACAGCTTAGCAGTGATATTGTTGTAAACAGTAAGAATAAAAAGCCTACTGAGGTATCAACAGTAACTAAAAGAGGCAGACATAATCAAGCAGTTGATTAGCCAAAATCTTACATACACAGAGGAGCATTTCACTGAGTTAATAAATCCTGTTAAGCCCCAAAGCCCCCCTCGGCGGGGGCTTTTTTTTTTTTCACGACACTGTGTCTCAGGGCATCTTAATATTTAAGAACCTATTAATGTGTTGTACCAGATTAACGGGAAGAATCTCAGCTAACTGACTATACAAAAATGTTTACCAAAACAAAACACAAGTCTCATAAGAAGCATCTAAATGACCCCCGAGCGAAAAATACTAACACACTTTGGCACAGAACTCAAGATAAAAGATACCCTTATTACTTATCGTAGCTGCACATACCAGATATCCGATTAAAGCTGAGGTTCCACAGATTATTTAGGTATATATATCATCACTGAGTGATCCGAACTCGCGACAGGGGAAGCAAACACAGAGATCACAACACGTACCTTTACGGAGCTTTTAAGGGAGATCGTCTCACCGTAGCTGTCAATCTGATCAAAAGACTTGTTCAATGGCGAGTAAAAGTTAGCTGCTAATGGTAGCCACCAGAGTTATCAAAGCTTCCGGTTTTGGCTATGCGTCAGTCTCACACACACACATTACCAAATAAGGAGTATGTGGGAGTTCCCCTCGATTCCATTGGCTCTGACGGTTAGAAAGAGATGTCAATCAGCAAAATCGAGCAAGGGGGGCCAGAGATAGGCCAAATCCACCCAATTTTGTTGCTAAATCTCTCTAAAAAGGTCAAATTTCACTTGTTTTGCATCAATCTTGATACAGAGTACTTATTATATGTTGTAGTTTGGATTCCTAAAGCTTTTAGTCTACCATCCCATCATTCAAGGGTGGTTTTCACTATAAGTAATTTTCTTTTTTTTGGACGGACACAATAATTTACATTTTTTTACTGTGTTCAATCTGAATTTACTTTAAAATAAAAACATCTATATTGATTCTGACACTTCTACATCCAACTCACAGATGTAACCTTGCTTTGAGAAAAAATATTATTCATTTAACCCTTTTAGAAGGGAAGATATGGTCATTTGTTCTGGGAATGTCATTTTTTAGCCTGAGACCTGAAAAACAGGCTCGGGGCTTAACATCTTGAACACTGGTAGATTGTTAATAAAATGACCGAAATATATTTTATGACACGTCCTTTCAGTGCACACAAACTAAACAAATTTATTTTTTTGGTACCCTGAGTCTTTCTTTGTCCTCTTGGGGGTCTGATGGTGGTTTGTTGCCTCGAGGAGTGCTGGGAGCAGGTTCAGGTTCTCGTTTGGACACTTCTTCAGCTTTGAGTGCAGGAGGAGCAGCAGAGGTAGCAGCAGGAGGAGCTGGTGGAGCTTCACTCTCCTGTAAAGTCAATGAAAACTTAATCAGATAGTAGCACCTCAGTCATTCAGGTTTTGTGCATGCAAATACAACATTTTGTTTGTTTCATAGTGATCGAACTGGAAACGTATTCTGCATTACATATAAAGTTGATTTTTATCTCCAAAAATCCCACATACTGTATCATGTAATCCTGATCGTGAATCCTGTTCTGAAACTCAGAGTAAGATTAAATCTGATTGTGTCACTGGCTATGAATCAGAAGGACTGTACAGTAATCCTATCACTCCATTATATGAGTTTCTCGCTGTCAGCAAAATATCCCATCACCAACTTTAATCCTTAAAGTGGATCCTGCTCTATAACTGCATCCCAACATTTGAGTCAAAATCTAGTTTTGACACTTTCATTTGTTCTGCTGTTGCTTGGCTTAACTAGAGCAAACAGCAAAAATAAATGTGTTTGATCAAATTGCCACACAGCAAAACTGACAAAGCTCTCACTCGCTCTCAGGCTTTGTATTCTCGTTCTTTAAATCATCTCTTTTTGTGACAATTTGAGTTCTCCCGTCTTTAAACCTGCTCAATGTCACCTGTTCCAGAGCACATGTCTGAGGTTCCATCATATTTAGTCATAAGCCATGCACAATGTGCTACATGACATTAGGCAACATGGTCCCCTCAGTTTGTGGGCAAATTAAAAATCTGAAAAAATAAGAATTTCTCTTGGATTAAGGTACCTAAAAACCCAGCTTTCATCACTGACAAAGTATAAAGCAACAATTGTTGGACCTGCAGGTAGATGCTAAAACAGGCAGCAGTTTATGTGACGTCATGAAATAGACAACATGATACACTACATGGAATGTTAGTTTTATGTCAGGAGTTGTTAAAAAGGATATACGTTTATAATGGATATCAGCTTGCATGAAGACCCTGAAGAAGTCATGGCAGTGATACAATTGCTGAATTAAATGAGCTGTTGAGCAGAATAAAATCAATTCCTAGTAAATTGCCTGGGAACAGATTTGCATCATTTGACAATGAAGCTAGTCATATATTTTTTTCTTTCTTATTTATTTTCATTTGATGTTTGTTTTGTTATTAATTCATGTTTTTCGCCACTGTTTATTACAGTGTCTCCAGCTGCATGAGTCATCTCTCTCAGCAACATGATGCACGTTAACTTGAGATAAGACTGTGAATGCTCAGAAAGGAACGTTTTTGAATAATGCATGTTTATTAAAATTCCTGGAAAAGTATGTTTTGAATTCCAGTAATTTTGACCCATTAATGTGGCAGCATGCCTCATTACGCCCAGTGTTACTGACGGCAGACGTGCTTCAGGCTGAATGAAGAATGTGCTGGCGATACTTGAAATGCTGAAACACAGCTCTGCATGTTAATTACAGGCTCAGACATTTACTGCTTTCTGTCAGCTGCAGGAAGCCGTTTAGTCTGCAGGCCTTCTGCAAGTAAATAAGCCCATTCAAAATACATTATTACATTTTCCTTTATTCTCCATCTCTACTCACTGGTAGTTCGGGGCTGTGACAGAAACAGAGTGACATTTAAATCACTTCCCCACTGTGACACGCTGTCTGTGACACCTGGAGTCCTTTCTGCTCAGCATCATCAAAGGATTTTGCACAAATACAGGCCATCACCTGCTCAGACCCACAAATCACTGTCCCTTTCTCACTGTATGTGAACAGGCAGCAGATCCAAATGTGGCCAGATGAAAGGGAGGAAAATATTCTGTGTACAATTGGAAGTCTGTCTGGTAAAAATTGCTCTGTGTTGTCCGCCTGTATCTTTTGTTTTATCTGTAAAAAATACTTAAATACCAAAACGAGCGATGCATTAATGCATCTTTGAATATTTGCTGATTCTCCATGTCTGTGGCAGCCGCAAGCCCCTTTTGAGAACATACATCTTAAAATCAGCTCATTGATATATGATTAAAGTGATTAAAAAAGCTGAATATTTAATTAGTTGTTAGGGCAATTGTTTGGGTCTTTTTTCAGCGGCAGATTCATCCACCTCGGGAGTATTTGTGGCACCATTAAGGTATGTCCGATAGGCAAAAAAATGGTGTGATTTGATTGCTTAGTTTATGAAATCTTAGAAAACTGTTTTAAAAAATGCCCAAAGATAATCAGTTTACTGTCACAATTGACTTGCGTCCTAGATGAGCTATAACCAGTTAATTTGTATTATTCTTTATATCTTTTTGAATACGTTTGTAAAAAAGGTTATTTAGATTTTCTCTACCTTGATTGATCAAGTCAATTGATTAATCATGTTGTCTCTACTTTAACCAGATCATTACAGATTCATTGTAGCTGTTTATAATCTGTCACATCACAGACACATTTAAACAACAGCCACTGTAAAATCACGAGGATTGTCACAGTAAATATTTTAGTGTAGCAGGGATTTCAATTATTGAATGTATTGTACTGAAGGAGCCAAGTTGTGGCTGTAATCAGAAATGTGGAACTGCAGCCATTGAAAGGGGAGCTGATAATTGAATGAATAGAGCTAATAAAACCCTGATTTGATCATTAAATCAGCTTTTGTGGACGCAGACTAATAAGAACTCGGCTTGTTATTGACAACCTCGGCGTGAACACATCATTTTGTTGTTAATTGCATGATTTTTCATTTAATTTGACCAGAACATCCATCCAGATGTGTGACACTAACTGACCTTCTCTGGATCATCCGCGGTCCACACCTTGACGATACTCATGTGCCTGTTGATCTGGGTCTTCACCGCGTGCTCGATCTGACTGTTGAACTTCATGAAGCTCACGTAGCTGATGTAGCCCAGCACCAGCAGCATGCTCTCCCACCACAGGATCATGTTGTCCACGAAGAACACGATGAGCATGATGAGGTCCAGGATGTAGAAGGTTACGTCTCTGAAGAGCGGCCACCAGGTCAGGTGCAGCATCTCCCGGGAGAAGATGGCGCACATGCCGATCACAAACAGGATGTTGAAGACGGCCGAGCCCACGATGGTGCCGATGCCCACGTTATTGTGGGAGATGAAGACGCCTATCAGGGAGGTGAAGAGCTCGGGGGCGGAGCCTCCAGCCGCCATGAAGGTTGCCCCCGCCACGTCTTCAGAGATCTCCAGCTTTTTGGTGATGACCTCCAGCCCGGGAACAAAGAACTCATCACAGACGATGGCCAGGGCGACAAACATGTAGATCATGCCCATGAGGTGCAGGACCACCCAGCCCTGCCGCCGTTGCTTCACTGTGAAGATGTCCGTTGGAAAACCGCCCTTCCTGTGAGGGGGCTGTGCTGCGGGGTGAGGGGTGGTGGGGGGCGGTTGAGTCAGGGGAGGTTGAGGATCTACGTAGATACACTGTTGGATATCTGTTCTGTTGACAACTATCACCGGAGGAGTATTGTTGCTCTCAGGTGAGACAACCTCCTCCTCCTTCGTCTCATTTGAACCTATCACCTCCCGAATGTTGACTTCCACAACATCATCATCATCACTATTCACATCTGCTCCGAGAGTGTGGTCCCTCTGGGCGGAGGCTCCAGGCTCTGATAGCCTTGCCCTCAGAGTCAGCGTGTAGACGAAGCACAGCAGCACACCTGAGAGGAAGAAGAGGAGGCGACTGCGCTTGAGTCTCCTCCTCGGGGGAGAGTGCACCTTCATTGCCCTTGTGGTCTTGATTCCAAACAGGAAGTTATGTCGGATGCATTGTTATTCCTTGATGGTTTCAACTCCGTAATGTGGCGGGAAGACACCAATGGCCAATGGATAAGACACACACACACACAAACGGACAAGTGTGTTTCATCTTCTACAGCAGGCAGCTGCAACCTGTGGAAGGACTGGAAACAGAAAACAGTTGGAATCCCATCAGCATGAACATGTGTGTTATGTCCATTGTGCTTGCATAGCTGCAGAGGAAAACCTACTGAAGAGAAGTGTGTGTGTGTGTGTGTGTGTGTGTGTGTGTGTGTGTGTGTGTGTGTGTGTGTGTTAAAGGGGGTTCAGACAGCCACCTGTTACTATGGATACATAATCACGCAGGCTTTTGCTACTCTTAAAAAAGGAGTGAATTGAAGACACGTTGAAAAAATACCGGAAAAATGCCGGAATGCTTCACAATAAATCAATAAATTATGAAATGGCTTCTGATTATTAGTATTAATAATCAGGAAATTATTAATAATAAGAGGCAACAGCTCTCGGAAACAACGAGATGAAAGTCCCGCGTGCAATAATCGATCATTAATGCTACATTAATTAACCCAGCTCGGAGAGCATTAATAACAATAAAACAAACACATATGAGAACAGAAAGGGCGTGTTCAGGTTTAAATGTGAGTCCAGCGCCGATTATAATATGTAAAGTCGACACAAGCCGGTCAATTATTCCTTCAACATCCAAAAATATCAGCAAAAGGACTATAAAATCCAGAAAGCTGTTGTTAAGCAGGGTGCGGGTCCTACCTGTTGCGCGTGCTGCTCGCTCCCTCGCCGCTGCACACGTCCCTCCAGCTGTGCGTAACGGACGCAGAGATGCTGACTCCGGGGTTTGGGGGAGCTACAAGGGCGCACAGCATGTCAGAGCTTGGACGACGGTCAGCATAACGCAGTTAAGAGGATTAGGAGCCGAACACCTCTCACCTTCCTCCTCGCACATAACGCTGTATCAATACAGCAACATTCAAAGTGTGGTGGTGGTTCGGGGTGAAATCTGGGAGGGGGCGCTGCGGGCGATGCCTGTTTGCTGTTCAGAGGCTGACAGGAGGGGTTTGGTCCTTAGTTAGGGTGTGGTCAGGTGAAGTCTTATTTTAGGGCTGTGGAGGATTTAATGTATTCGTGTAATGAAAGTGCAGAACATGAGCATGTATGTTGGAAAACAAGTGCGTCTTGTGGGAAAATATTTGCCTCAGTGATAATACACAGTATTTCCAATGGAAACATTTCCAATGTTTACATATGGAAATAAGACTTTTACTATTGTTACAACATGACAATATTAAGAAACTCTTTTTTTTTTTTTTTTATAAATACAGGTTTCTTTTTAATCTCAAATTTCAATTTCAATTAAGCTTGAAGAATTTGGACTGTGTTATGTATTGGATTCAAGTTGAGTTAAAGGAATAATTCATTAACAATAAGTAATATTGAATGGGACCTCCTTTCCATTGTCAAAATGTACAAAAACTCACACAAGTCTTTACTTATTCCTTACATTTAAATCATCTGCTGAGAAGCCCAACGACTTTCACCAATATGTCCAAATTATGATTATAAAGGCTTAAGCTGTACCGCCCTGACGGAAAAAAAGAAGGTGAATACAGCCACAGAGAAAAGGTCCAATCAGGCAAAGTGAAAACCCCTGTGGCTGGGGGCTTAAAGAGTGGCAGGGGGCAAACGCTCACTAAATAAATTACAATGATGAGATATTCTTTGACCATTTATGTCGCCTTGAAAATAATCCAGAATGGTTCTGAAATGGAAACATTTTCATGAAATTTTAATACGTTTGAATCTCCAACAACATCCATCCTTTCCTATTTGCAGCGAAATGTAAAAGAATTAATTAGACATTTTATAAAAGGAACTGAGTTCAGAGAAAAAAAACACCCGGCCTCCAAAATTAGAAAACTGATGTTTATTTTAGGCAGGAAACCATATTTGTGATCACAATGCAGCGTTAGTCTGAATGTCCCTGCCTAAAGACTTTTGAAATGCAAATAATGTCTAAATCAAGCTTTATGACAAGTACACATCTTTCCCAAACACCATTCGAAAAAACTAACAAAAAAACTGAAACAAATGAAAATCAACAACTTCAATAAACACAAATAAATCCAAAACAAATGGAAAGTCTAAAGGGTAAACAGATTGGGTGGAACAGGAAGTGGACGGCTCATTGTTGATGATGTCATATCCTTCAACAATATTGCCTGTGCTCAGCTTCTTCACTCAGTTTCACAGTAGAATAACACCTGCCCCCTCTTTAGTGTGAAGCGTCAGTGCTAATAATAAACCATCTAACACACTTCTCCAATTTAAGATCCAGTGGGATTTGTAATTCGTCACACCTGGGTAAGAGCAGATTTGGATTGTAAAGGATGTTTGGTGCATCTGGAGTTCATGCTTTATTTAACCAGGTAAAAGACTCATTGAAATTAAAATCTCTTTTCCAAAAGTGACCTGGCCAAGAGTTTAATTTTTTTCTCCTAACAGACACATTTAAGAGAATTGTCACTTGACCGAAACATCCACAGTTCAAAGAACAACAAAAGGTTGCATTTCTATGATTGTAGTGTAAGCTTCTGATGGTAGAAAAATGTATTTGCATTAATTGGCAAACTGACCACACACACATCAACTGTGTATACTTACAGAGAAAACAGTGTGTGCTTGTTGTGTTCCTTCTATTCATGTCAGTGTCCACATGGCAGATTGTTGGATTTATTCAAATGACCACCGGTGTCCAATGTTGCCCATTTTTTAAATGTTGACATGGTGCTTTAAAGAAGATAAAACTGGACTCTGGGGGTGCTGTCAATTCAGAACTTGCATAAAGTACTCAGCTGAGTTTTTATTAATGCACCAAAAGCATTTGTCAAGTTATAAAAAGATAACCTTTTTATTTAGCCCTTCAACTTCATCCTCCATTCCTATCCTCAAATAAACGTTTTCCTATTTTGCCATTTGTATGTTTAGCGTGCTTTTTTTAGCGTTTACCATAAAAAGCCAACAAACAATACTTCAATCATAATTTGTCAATCCCATGTCCTCCTTGTAGGTCACAAAGTAGAAGCTTAATCGTTGTATAGGTTGCCAATAAAACTAGTGGAAAGGCCAATAGGAAGGATTGTGTGTTTCATGAAAAGATAGTTATAAAAATTCCTCTTAAAAGTAATTTGCATGGCTTTTTTAATATTCAAAGCCGTGAATGACTGACTGAGACAAACAAGGCTCAGTGTTTGGAAACATATCTGACCATTTCTCAAGCGCCATGGTGTTTTAGCTTATCTACCTTACATCACCGATGATGGATCATTGATTTTTCTTCAATGGGTTAAAAGATATCTAAAAACATTATGAGTTTTGATCCAACAAAGACCATCATTTAATAAATAATCCTAAAGCAATAAATAAAACAAAAAGGGCAAATCTGCCCGAGCCTTCCCAGAAAGAGTTTTCTTTAACCACTCTAACTGTGGAACATAGGACTCCATGTCCCACTGCAGACGTGGACAAACATCTTGATAAATATGACATTTTTTAAGAGAATAAACACACTAGTAGTAAAGCACTGGATGTACAGTTTTTTCAGGTGATGTGTGTTGTGCAGCTGTTAAAGAAGGATAAACAGGATGTGGTCTGGGGAAAGTTCACCCATTGGAGGATTAAGGGGAAAAGTCCTCCTTCAGGTCAGTGTATGTGTGTAGAAGATGAGAAAGGCAATTGAGGAAAATAAACCTTCTGCTTAATCTTTAACAGGACGGCAGTTCAGGGTGTTTTAAAAATAGGCTGATGAGTTATTGGACTTTCCTTTTCCTCGAGCGGAATCGTCTCCTCCTCTGCTTGTACAGGTGCCGGAAATTGATGAAGAGTCCTGGGAGGAGAAGACAGCCGTCAGTATGAAGCTGATAGACTAGCTGTAATATTACACTCATCGGGTGACTGCACAAACACATTAGTAAGCCCCGTCTCCACAACACAAGTACATCATTCCTTCATTCAAAACTGTTTCCAGGGACATTTTTGCACATGCAAATGACATTTCCAGTTAGACATTTATAATGCAACTAATAAAACACATGTTGTCTTCAGTTTTTTAGGGTTTTTTTCTGCAACCAGTGCCTTTATTTAAATGACAGTGTTGAAAGGGGGAGACGGAGGGGATAGCACAGGTCAAACGGTCCCAGGCTGGATTCGAACCCGGGTCCTTCGCATCTGGACCAAGCCCCAGTATGTGGGCAGCCAGCTCTACAAACTGAACTTTGCAGCAGACTCCAAATGCCTTTTTTCTACATTTTCATTCACCGTTTCTTTTGAGGTTTATGAATCAAGCTTCAAATGTCTGACTTCATATTTTATGATTCGTAATTTGATAACAAATTGTTATTGATCGAAATACATTTGTCTTTATTATGACTTTGTCTTTTGCAGTTCAATTAGTTTTCCTTAAGCAGCATACATTGTCAGTTTTGTTCGACAGCATTTGGATGCTGATTTAGAATTAGAATGTCAACATGATAAGTTACGCTTCGTCACTGACTGAATACCCAGATGTCTTGCTTGTATCTTGGCCACTAAACCCAACACACAAATACATTTTGCATTTAAAGGGATTCGCACATTTGAAGCTAATGCACCAGAACCTACCATGGTTTTGCTTATTCAAAGTGAATATACTTGCATTCTTCTGACTTGGTGTCTTTATGGTTTATTGTAAGTCGCTTTGGATATAAGCATGAGCTAATAAAAGCTTAAAGCTATTGTGTACAGTCGAAGGTAAGGGATGTCTCACCTAGGAACATGAGGACCAGGTAGATCTGCAGAGTGTAGGAGAAGCTCAGGGAGCCTCCCAGCAGCGCGGGGAGGGGGACGCTGAACAGACGCGTCGCATCAAAGATGGCCAGGGACTGGATCACGGCTACCGCTGGAAACAGGTACAGAAAGACACATAGTCAGCAACAACTCATGTGTACCCCTCCAACTTTGTCTATGCCACTGTTTTCTCAGTATTCTAATCTCTAACCTTCAGCCAAGACCCCCAGCGGGTACAGAGGGATCCAGAGGCTGTACCTCAACCACGTCAACAGCTTCCACTCTGTGCTGATGCAAGCCAGCATGTAGAACGGGTACCTGATGTGGAGAAGGAAGAGCCTGTGTTAGAGGAAGCAGTTACGCATGTAGAGCAGTGAGGGGAGGATGATGATGTGACGGACCTGAAGATCTCGATGGTGCTCCACAGGTAGAAGACGAAGAACACCACAGGTTTGTTCTGCATCTCCTCCAGACTGCCGAAGATCACAAACAGAATGACGTTCCTCCCTGCCACCTGCAACAGAGAACCATCAGACAGAGTTTAGATACTGTTATTCACATGATGTTAAATATGAATGCTAAAGTATCAGATAGTGATGCTTAAGACAATACTATTCTTACAACCAGAAGTGGAGGAATTACTCCGATCTGTACTTGGGTACAAGTAGAAGTACCAGAGTGTAGAAATACTCTGTTACAAGAAAAAATCCAGCATTCAAAATGTTACTCAAGTAAAAGTAAAAAAGTATTGGCATCAAAATAGTTAGTACCATAAGTAAAAGTACTCATTATGCAGATTGGCCCATTTTAGAATAATATATATCAAATGTTTTGATCATAATTATTGCTGCATTAAAGTGTTCTCAAAGCTGGTAAAGGTGCAGCTAGTTCGAATGACTTTCTAATACTGCAGGGTGGATTGTGAAATGTACATCATTAATCCAATTCTGTAAAGTATCCAAAAGGTAGTAAATAAATGTAGTGAATGAAGTACAAAGTAGAAAAACAATTAGATACTCAAGTAAAGTACTAGTCTCTCAAAATTGCACTTAAGTAAACTTCTTGATTAAATGTAATTAGTTACTTAACACCACTGCTTACAACTGTCTGAAAATCTGCAGCATTTGCCCCATATTTAAAGGGACCTTGATGCTTATATTCAGGTGTATGTCAGTATGTAGTGTTTCTACTGTGACATGTCTCCATGCTTTAATGATCAAAAAGCTTTTTATTTTTCCTCATACTGCCTGTGATGCAGCACCTCTTTTCACCCTCTGTCTGAAACCAGAGCCCAGTCTGCTCTGATTGGTAGCTGGCCGGCTCTGTTGTGATTGGTCAATTGCTAAGAAATGTCCCGCCCCTTAGCCTTTCATCAACAATGTGTTAGAGCGCTAGCCAATAGAAGCTCAAGTGTTAGATAGTGAAATGGAGGCGTTTCAGGCAGGGGGGGGAGAAACTCCCCCTGGAAGGCCTTTGCAGACCATTTACATGTACACACACAGTACAAGAAAGGGAAGATCCCAAACAGCATTATAGGGCCCCTCGCTCAATGTCAGCCATATTTTTCTTACGCCTTAGAGCAAATGGCATCAAATCCTACAAACTGGTTCTTTTCTAGCATGCCCAGGTCATAAGGAATGCATTAGTGATGATTGTAAACTAGGTCACTGATACTCTTTACAGCAGGTCTAAAGCTTGAAACCCCAAGAGTGGAGCATGCAGCAGATTTGCGCCCATGGTTTTGGAATGAGATATTTTAAATATCACATGTAATGTGCAGGTTTCCACATGCTTTTAGCCAAATGTGTGACAACTTACGTTAGCTACATTAAAGTAACTTTGCTTTTTGATGACTCAAATGTTTAGGTGTTACTTGGGTTTACATAATCAGGCTTGAAATCAGAATAAAACATGAAGTGATTCTCTCTACCTGTATCATAGCAGGAAAGAATCCAGTCTTAACCAGACCCAGCAAGGGGTTGATGACCTCGAGCACGGCCATCATCTGACAGAAATACATCATGTCGGCCGTGGTGTGGAAGGTATCATAGAACGAGTCTGTGAAGGGAGAGAGAAACAAACGGACATAATTAAACCGCACATTGCATAAGCGTCTATTCATAATCCTCATCATTTGCAAAACAAATCCCTGCTGCGTAGCCGTGTTCCTGTTTCAATTTAAATGAGCTCATCTGTGAATCGTTCTCTCAAAAAAACAGAAAAACAGAGCTCTATCTATCTCTCTGTGTTTCTGGACCTCCTGTGTTTCATTTAGCTGTAGTGGTGCTAATTATGTCTTATTTATTATGCAGCCCATGAAATGTAAAAGCTATTAAAGGGAGTGCAATTGTCTGTTTTGTCCCAGGTTTTTATCTTTATTTCGTCCATCCCTTTACAGTTTGCCAATTCTGCTTTTACTCAACTGTTCCACATCGATCATCTTTGAGATCCGTGTGAAGTAATGAACAAAGCACAAAAACAATGTAACTGACATTAAAGTTACTTCAAATAAACTGTGGTGTGTCTGTTCATGGCATACTATGATTATAGCCACATTGTATCCAGTCTTTGCAGCAGAATCTAATAATCTACATGTAATTAAATAAGATGTAATGTAATGCACTGTGGCTTCAAGACCAAATGATTATCAGTAATAAACAAAAGAAAAGCAGATATCTTGTATTTACAGAAACACTCTAAAAATGGTTAGACAGGCTTCCAGTACTGCGGGGTAACTGGTTGACCCGGACACAAACGTATTCCTCTACAAACCTTGACCAAGGATGAAGAGTCGAACGGTCATGTTGACAAAGATCCAGGAGAATCCCAGGAACTGCACCAGGTTGTACATAAACAAGTAGCCCCTCTTCAGCCCAAGGTACGCTGAGGAAGAGAAGAATATAACTCAAATAACTGATGCTAATGTTGCTAACACATGTGTTTGGAAGGTAGCACAGAGCACAGTGGGACTCACGGTCTGTACGAACTCTCGACTCCACACTTATCTTGTTTATTTTCTCTTCCTCCTGAAAAAAATCAAACCATAAAAGACATTTTTTTTAAATATAAGGTTTAAAAAAACGAGTTAGTAAACACTTTACATTACCACATAAAAAAAAGATTTTAAATGTCATAATAATGAATTGTAAAGCTACTGCGATTTTGTATTAACACAGTCCACTCAATCGTAGTAAGAAAAAGGTGCCATTTAAAAAGGTCTAGCACCGGGAATATTGCAAATATATATATTTAAATATAATTTAGATATATATATATATAAAGTTAGACAGTGTGGTGGAGTGTTTGATATATGCTAAGCCAAACCATTCAGAGAAACAGCAGGGGTGGATCACATTATGTCTGTGAGACTCTAAAACATATAAATGTTGCTTTTCTTACCTTTCTTTCCAACACATAGTTTATTGAATCATTTTCAGAAATTGGCATTCCTGTAATAGTTGCTATGTTTTCCCAAACAAAGAGAGATCCCTTTGGATGGTGGCTTTGTCAACTAATGTGTAAAAGGGGTTCACATTACTGTAAAATCCCAGTGAAGTCCGACATTGTATTTAAAACAACTTTGAGCTTGGACTAAAAATAGCACCAACTGTCCTAACTGAAATTAGAATGATCCCATCTACTCATTTGCCTCATCAGTCAAAAGCCTTTTCAGTGTGGACTTGATTTTATGTTCACAGTACCTTAGCCTGAAGCTCCATCTCGGCGTCCGACTCGTCCAGCCAGCGGTCGAAGTCTGGAGCCAGAAACAGAGGCTTCTTCTCCTGCAGAGTCAGCCGGTCCCACCAGCGCTCCTCCTGCTTCCTGATCTTGATGTCCACCTGACGCTGGGTGGACTTATGGTTGATCTGAAAGGTATTACAATGTCTATCAGGTTTCGTAACTGAGACAAGCAGAAGGCAATGATGTAATGTGAGTAGCTTGGGAAACCACATTTTATCAACTACTGACTGAAAATAACTTGGTTAAAGGACACATTTGAACACATTTTGTATCGACTTAAGTTATTTCTATAAGGTACATTTATGCAGTCATTATACAGAGAAATTGTATAAAATTTGCCAATGTGCATACTGTACTTGCTGTGAAAATTATAATATGTATTGCCTTTTATAGTTTAAGGCCATTATTTAATTTTAAATGTATATCTCGGTATCTGTAAGTACTGCTGGAAACAAAGTGACAACACTTAAGAGTTATATTATACACTGTAAGAAAACACATCAATAATGCCCTCCTGAACACTGGTACTTCGATTACATTTAAATTAACTGGACAAAAATCAATATTAAAATCAATTTAAACACACATAAGTGAGAGATGAATAAAAATATTGTTACCTCAGTTCTAACAGGTTCCCGAAACTCCAGACTAAACTTGTATTCATTATCTCCTTTAGCTCCATGGCCCTGTGCTGTGGAACAATATGAATTGCCATCATGTCAAATATAATAAATCATGTCAAATATTTAAAGATTATTTAGAAAATGTTTTGCTTCAATATTTTCATTATGCAAGTGTGTTTCCTCCTCACAAGCACCCATGTAAATACTGACCTTTGAACTGAAGTATGTTGTTTTCTTGTACACTGATGTCGAGATCCTAAAAAACACAACAGCAACCATCACCACCAACCCGACACTGATGCACAAAATACAAATTTAAGGATAAGCTGGTTGATATTCAATGTTTTTCTTACTATCAACAAATCCAATTAATACATTTTGAAAAATGTGTTAGTCCCTGTAGCAATAGGATGCCCAATATATCTGTTGCAATGAACCTTGAGCTTATTGGTTTCTGAAGGTGAAATTCTTTAAAAACAAATATAAATTCATTCTTTCTAAACAGCTGGCCAATGTAGTTATTTATATATCTTACTTAAATAAAACAAAAAAATGTATTTGTTGGGTACTATTTTCAACAGCAGATCAATACATAGTAGGTGCTGTAATAAGGGTTTAAAGAAGAAGGATGGTGTTATTGGGTTTTTGGCTTTAAAGGAGTTATGTCACAAACAAATAGATATATCTGTCTTAATTCACAAAAGACTTACTAGTGAGAGCCACACATTATTGTTTTTGGTTTGCAAACATTTAACATTACCCAGATTTAACCCTTTAAAACAAGTACCCAGTTTATTATGTACACTAAGCTAAGTATTGCAGTCAAATACAACAGCCCTGTAATATTATATAAATGCAATAAATTATACCCACAAATAGGGATGATAAGTAGGGCAACTAATAGAGCGGTATGGTAAGTTTAAGAAAACAAATATCTTTACTGCAATGCAACCTTTAAAACCAGGTAAATACACTTTTGCTATATTAGAATACCCAAAATCTAAAACGATATATTTCGTAAAGCAGGAAGGTGTTGCTTGAACTTTTTGGGCATTTTATAGGCTGTAATTTGTGTGAATGATTGTAAGTGCATTATACTGAAACACATTTTATATGTTTTATATTCAGACTTTCCTTATTGATAAATTGGCGTTAAATACGTAACATGACAGGTGTTCCTCTGTCAGCCTGTTTCAGTGATCATTGAGCCATTCTGCTAAGGGGCTAAACAAGATCCAGAACAACCATTACAAGTCATGCATCTTTTATAGGATCATTGTCGAACAGATGCAGGACGAGGAGGAGGAAAACCAGCAATATCTGTAACTAATGCAAACACTTAGCCAACAGAATAAGATGAAAGTAGTCAGTTATAGATGGTGATGAGGTAAAGATAAATCACAAAAATAAACACAATTATTATTATTATTAGTAGTAGTAGTAGTAGTAGTAGTAATAATACAGGTTTCGACTGGCTGACAGAAAGCATTAACATCCCAATATATTTAGTATTGAGCTGGGTTTTGTATCTTGAATTATTTATTCTGACTTTGATATCATTGTATTTGTTTTAGTGGTAGTTGATAGTGGTTCGAGAGTAGTGATTCACAAGGAAGTCCGACCGACAGACAATACATTGTTATCAGCTCCCGTTACACTTTGTATTTTGCCGTAAAAAACAAACGTATATATTTTTTGGACGTAGAACAAATGCGTAACATTACATTATTAACGTATTATCAGTTTTCTTCTGGGCATCACACATAAACGTCATAGGTCAAAAATAGCGGTGTAACGGTAGCCAACGGTTAGGCTAGCCGTTAGCATAGGGATATGTTAAACATGAATAAGCCACTTTTACACCCACAGCATTAATATATTAAAGATTAAAGGCATTAAACCATATGTCTTTATCAGTAAACGACAGGTCTATAAGAGTTAAAGCTGGCGTGGTTACCTTTGCATCGCTCAGGTCCACCCTGAGGAAGATCTCTGAGTGCCGCTGAGCCCAGTAAACATGCGGGGTGAGGATCTGCATTGTCACTCTGTTCTTTCTGATATCTACATGCCATAAAATGAGAAGAAATATACTAAAACTGTAAACCTACGTCCTCATCTGACAGCCTGCCAACAACCCCCACTCACACACAACAGAGGGGATGTGATGGAGCATGTTTCCGGGAGGAGGGCGTTTACGCGCTTCAAAATAAGATTAAAAGACTAAATGAGAAGTTTCAAAATAAAAGTCCCCACACTTACTTAAAATTAAATTACTAATACATTAATATCTTGTAATAGTGAGTGTCTGATGTATTTTCTCCTCACAAAAAGGTTAAATTACCTAATAAAATAACAATATTAAGTTGAGTTAAATAGGTCTACATTATTATTATTAAAAAAAAAATGTGTTCACATTTTTATTGAGATGAAAGCAAAAAGTACAACATTTTTCTTTTTTAAATAAAATAACTAAAAGTACATAAGAAAAATACAAATTAGACAAATTAGACATGGAGTGCCAGCACTCCATCAGCGCTATCAGACAGGATTGTATGGTCTACACATTATTTGTTATTTACAGGGGAAATGCAGTGAATTACTAGAACCTTCTTAACAAGTTGTTTGTTTTTACTTCAAAAATATGGGAACCATATAACTACATTATATTTAAAAAATCGGTATGAAAAGAGTGAGAAAACCTTTTATAAGTTTAAAACAATATATCTTATTCATTCTCAAAGAAGGCTTTTATGCAACTCACAATAGTTGTGTATTGGATCAATGATTGGATAGGAAAATCCTGCCTGCTAAGTAATTGTATCAAATTGTCTCCTATTTCATCACACCAATAATAAACCTCAAGACAATCCTCTTTATATCACCTCTAAATTCCCAGAGCAAACCAAAGTCATTGTTGATCAGAAATGGACTCTTCTAGCAGTAAACACATCTCATACCCATTAATTAGACTGCAATAAATAAGGACAGTTAACTGCAAATTAATATTAGATTAATGTTAGATTATTTGACTGATTATATAGTGAAGGCAAAAGTGTTAACATTTTAATCACATACATTGTTAAGTATAACATGTTTCCAACAAGGATGCATAATTCAACTCTTTGGGTCCAGATGTTATTCATGATGTTGTGCAATTCTGTTATTTTACCTCAGTATCACCAGAATCTACCACAAGAGGGCGAGTAAAAGTACAAATACATTATTTTCAAAAATATTTCTAGATTGTATTTTTGCATGAAGTAGCATTTTACTGTATGACAACACAATTATGATTGACTTTTCGTAAAATATTAAATAATTGAACTTTTTAGTGACTTAAAGAGTTATATTAGTCAACTAGTTTATTTTTAAAGATGCATTTTGTTATTGAAGCTGAAGCTGTTCAACAATGTAGTGGAGTCAAATTACATTATTTCCCTTTTAAAGGTAGTGGCGCTGGTAGTTCTGGGAGGGAAAAAACATTTTTGACTGTTTGGCTCATCCTAACTTTTAGCCTTGATGTAACAACATTCATAATTAAGTCAAGATAACACCCTTTTCACCCCGGTTACACTTTTCATTTGCCCAGTACGATGGGCGATGTAAGTGATGAAAGTGGGGGATGCTGACTTATCAGGCGCCCGCAGCTCACAGCCAAAGTGCGAGCGAGCCTCCGAGCGAGCAAGAGAGAGAGAAAGAGAGGGCGCGCATCGGTACCGCGGATTGTTGTTGGATTGAGGTTGATAACTACAGCTCAGTGAGGTAAAGGACTCTTGAGTGTTTAGATAGTTCACTTTAGTCTAAGTTATCTCAGTGGGTCTCAAACGGTTTGGTCACCATTTATGTAAAAAAAGAATCCCAGGCACTCCTTTATAATTATTAGGATAAATAACAACAGGTTTGAAATGTATACTATAGGACGGTAAACCAAAAATATCGTTTAAAACTGGAGATATTAAAAGATATGCATAAATAAATGAAGGTTAACTAGGTAAAATAAGATATAAATGAACCACAAAAATAAGATAAGTTACATTTATTTGTTATTAGCTATGGTAAGTTATTGATTATGTTCACATACTTATTTGATTATTAAAATGTAAACCGATCTTTTTCATATGGGTGTTTTCCATTCTCCGTGGGGACTTCCGGCAGCAATCTTGATTCTGATTGGCCAGAAGACTGAAAAAACATCAGCAAAGATGTGAGAATTTGATCACTACGTAACAGAAGTTTTCAAAACCGTTTATGGTCTCCGGTACTTCCAGTCCAACGCCTACTGCATGCACACCATTAGAAAATTGGGCCTTCAAAATAAAAGTTTCCCTTTTGTTCAAAAAAAAATCTTCTTCACTCACACATCTGCGACCCACTCGAAACGGGTCTGCGACCCACCAGTTGAGAACCACTGAAATAAAACATCCGTAGTCACGCTGTCAGGCTTCCAGCACCTCCTGATTCTCTCCAAATTCACCGTAGCTTCTCCTGCTGTGAGCTGGCTCAGGTTAAAGGATTGAACTCTGGGTCCTGAAGTTCATTGATGCCTCAAATTGGCTAAAAATAATAATGGCTACTATGATAAATATGCTTGCATTTGCTGTTTTACTAAGACTTAGATTTTAAGATTGATGAAGAGATCAGTGAACATTAGAAACTCACTCAGGAGGAGTGATCTTTAGGAAACTCGACTAAATCTGAGCATACACAGCAATCTCCATATGGCCGCATTGAGGCTTCTAATTACAGCCTAGTTTTATATTTCAGAATATGTCTACTTAAAAGTGTTATTTCTCCAACGAAAATGCATAAAACATAGCTGCTGTAACAATAGAGGTAGTGATAGTTATGATCCATGTCATTTCAACCTTTGTGAACCAATCACATGTTATCCAGGTTATTATGGAGTTCTATTAGCCTACATGAGAAGGTCAGAGGAACTCCACATCAGTTGTGTGTGGGGACAGTTCAGTTTCACTAATAAATGGTTTTGAATGGGGTCAACTGCGCTGTACCAGTTACTATCAGAATGATAGATGAACACAGCGCTCTCCTTCTCGCTCTGCTCACTGAGAAATGCTGATTGGGGAGCTTTCGGGCGTCGCATCAGTGCATTACCTTGGATGTGTTGGATATGAGCACTGAGACCATCAGTCACCCTGACAGCCGATTAATCAACCAGCCAATCAGGGAAGAGTACGAGTGAAAAATGTGGGTTGTTGGCATGATGCTCGGTGGCGCTGAAAGTGTTCACCTGCTGTGCACTGAACACTCAGCTCTGTCATTGTGAAGCTTCATCCTTTACAACAGACCAATTAGGCAATATTTTAACTGAGTTGGTCCTGAAGAGGGACTTGAGTTTTCAGACTGTTTACCCTGACAGTTTTATAGTTTTGTTGATATATGCTCCCAAAGTTCAGCTATAGATGCTTTAGACTCTGCAGAGTTTGTAGTAGTTGTCTCTTTAAAAGCTCATCCATCAATTTCTTATTCCAGACGGAGCTGACAAATGCTGCTAACTGCCATTTGACCGAACAGGATACCACTGTGATAAAGTTAGAGTCCTCCTGCAGGTGGGGACATTACTTTCCCATCCTATATCTTACCCAGCGACGTGCGGTCAGGGGAGGCAGGGGAGGCAGAGCCTCACCTGTCATACTCCAATGTAACGGAAAAACAACTAAAGAAAAACTAAATAGTAATAATAATAAAATGTCTCCACTGATCTGTGTTGTAAATGTGCTTTATGTATGATTCCAATCGCTTTTTAAAGTCAAAATCAGCAAATTTGCCGAGCTCCACTACAACTACGGGTAGCGATGAGAAGTGAGGCAGGGACGAGCTCTGCCTCTCGTAAGCCCACAGTAATTTGCTGGAGCGCGGGCACTAATTTAACGCGGGCACTTATTTTGTGAGCGCGCTCAAGCCAGTTACTGTGAGGTGAGGTGAGGCACAGATGAGCTCTGCCTCACCTCAGAATGCGTCACCCCACAGAAACTGGCTGGAGCGCGGGCACTAAGCGCATGCCTGTTACCATCTCACTGTAGGTCACCAATGTAATGTTTGTAGATCCCTTTATTACATTTATCCTCGCCATCCATAGTCTCTAAATAACTTATTTCACGTATATGATATTTAGTCTCGCTGGTCTCATCATATAACGGCAATGAAAAAAGCACCAGGGGAGGCAGCCATAACCTCTGCCGCACTGAAGGGGGCGCACATGAGCCCACAGGTTCTTGTTGCTACTGTTATTCTACGCAGAGACGTTAGACACAAACAACAAGCTAGACTTTTCAAATTACAGGAAGATAAGGAGGACTTTTACAAAAAACTAATAGAGATTGTTGTCCAGAAGGATAGCATAGACTTCATCTTCAAGTCAAGGTAAGACCACAATTTTAATGAAAATGGGATCTTACTAAGAAAGAACAATCC